AAAACAGCACTTTGGAAAATATTAAACAAGTTTTATTGTAAATTTTCGATCTTGGTTCCCCAAGTCGTCTTCAGACGTGAAGTAAGTGTGCAACACAGTTAACATTTAAACATGCCGAAAAATCGATTTTGCCTTGTCACTCCTGCTGGTGTGATGTTCACTCAGGAACGGGCGCACATCGATCCATTGGCTTGCGAAGCAAACTAGGTTTGTATGGACGACAGCTATCATATGAAGAAAAAGATGGGCTCACCGGAACGGGTTTATTTAGATACTGACATTTCGAAGGGTTTGGTCGACTCTCCATTGTCAAGGCGTAAAATGCACTTCATCGACCAGAAATCCCAGGTGGCATGTCACGTTGGTCGGCCTCGTGCTGATCGATTTTTCTCTCCCCTTGCTGACTCGGTCTCTCGGGGGATGGTTGACGGGCGTTTTGGCTGCGTGCTTTATGAGTCACCACCCCGTCGGGGGAGGTGATTGAACCTTTGTCGGGTGGTCGGTCTGGCGGTTCTTCTTCTTCTTCTTCCTCATCGAGTAAACTCGCCTTCGGACTGTCTTCGTATGGCCTTCTTAGGTCTGGTGTGGCTGTTTGGTCCTGAGCTCTACGATTGTGATGACGTAGAACCTTGCAAGCTGTAGGGAGGTCCAAATGCCTGTTGATGGAGTGGGCATCGGGGGACCACGCCTCGAGAGTTAGCCGTTCTGCTTTTGTGTTGTCTCGGCCTAAGTTGGTAGCTCTCTGGAGATCGAAAGTATGCTCAGTTTCTCCAACGCGTGTTGCTGGTTGCACCTTCAGAACCTATTTGCAACGAATGGTTATCCCAGACATTTCATCGAGAGAAGCGGACGTCGGGTGCACAGACGGCAGCCAAATGAGCAACAGTCCGAAGTCTGGAGGGCTAGTCCCTAAAGTAAAGGGGTCTCTGAGACGTTCTCGCGACTGTTACAACCCACCAGAGTAGGCATAGCCCATCGACCCCAAGCAAGAATTCGACGTCGCCTAATGCAACCTAAGGTTCCATTGCCACCCGCTGAAACCTCAGCAGTCATCTACAAAATATATTGCCATGAGGGCGACTGCAACTATGTGGGCGAAACCGGGCGGAACTTGCAAACTCGCCTACAAGAACACAAATCGGCCACTCGGAGGTTAGACCCTAACTCTAAACTAGCGACACACGTTGGGGAAACTGAGCATACTTTCGATCTCCAGAGAGCTACCAACTTAGGCCGAGACAACACAAAAGCAGAACGGCTAACTCTCGAGGCGTGGTCCCCCGATGCCCACTCCATCAACAGGCATTTGGACCTCCCTACAGCTTGCAAGGTTCTACGTCATCACAATCGTAGAGCTCAGGACCAAACAGCCACACCAGACCTAAGAAGGCCATACGAAGACAGTCCGAAGGCGAGTTTACTCGATGAGGAAGAAGAAGAAGAAGAACCGCCAGACCGACCACCCGACAAAGGTTCAATCACCTCCCCCGACGGGGTGGTGACTCACAAAGCACGCAGCCAAAACGCCCGTCAACCATCCCCCGAGAGGCCGAGTCAGCAAGAGGAGAGAAAAATCGATCAGCACGAGGCCGACCAACGTGACATGTCACCTGGGATTTCTGGTCGATTAAGTGCATTTTACGCCTTGACAATGGAGAGTCGACCAAACCCTTCGAAATGTCAGTATCTAAATAAACCCGTTCCGGTGAGCCCATCTTTTTCTTCATATGACAGCTATCGTCCATACAAACCTAGTTTGCTTCGCAAGCCAATGGATCGATGTGCGCCCATTACTGAGTTAATTCATTTATAGATTTATGCGTAAAGATTCGAGGTCTAGACATTGTATCGCGTTCATCATCTCCCGAAGTAGACGAAGGAGAAGAGAGTGCGAATTCATGGACCATATTGCATTCGAACTGACGTTTCGGAAACTTCCTCGTTTCCATCATCGGAGTTTGTATACGGCATGGTACCGACAAAGACGAGGGAGATCGAAATGGCTATTTCTGGCTTATTAGCCATAATCAGTCAGGCATACCCAACGCCAAGTGTGGATCACTTGGAATGCAAACCCCGGGTCTTTGTTCATCCAATTTTGACAGTCTACCATTGAGCCTCGGGCCCGTTGTCCCGTCGGTTGTGATCTGGAATATCAGTTATGACAGATGGGCGCTCACCGATCAGGTTACGGAACATGCTCGTTCTGTTGTGCCCTGGGGCTCATACTAGAACCCCCACAGGCAGTCGCACAGCGACTAATAGTAGAAGTAACTTACATGGTACCCACAACAACAATTTGAGCTCTTATCTGTCATAACTGATATTCTCGATCGCAACCGGCAGGACAACGGGCCCATGACTTAATGACAAAGTGTCAAACTCTATGACCAAAGATCCATTTCTGTCCCCATTGTCTTTGTCGGTACCATCCCATACACATTTATATATATGCAGAAAAACCTTACCGACAAAGACAAGGCATGTTGGAATGACTATCTCCGGCTTAGTAACCGTTGTCCGCCAGTCATACCGAACCCCGAAGTGCGAAACATTTAGGGCATGATCCCGCAACCTGTTGGTAAGAAGTCCAACGCCTCCAACCACTGAGCCACGGGCTCGTTGTTCCGTCAGTTGCGATCGGGAATATGCAATGGTAGAGGGGCGCTCACCGATCGTTTCTGCGAAAGTCACTCGTCCCGTTGTGCCTTAGGGCTCTCTTTCGAGCCCAACCAGCAGTCGCACAGCTGACGACGGCTAATAAGCCAGAAATGCCCCCTCCAATCTCCTTTGACTTTATCGGTTATGTATTCTGCCTATAGTACGCGCCGCTGTGCTGATTTGGCTCGTGAGACAGCTCTAAGGCGACATTTCCGTAGAAGCGTTGTTTTGATAAGCGCTCGTCGTCCACCCTCACCAGATGGCCGCGCCAGTGTAGCTGTATTTGCCTGGGCATGGCGTGGATTTTGAGGACTCCAGTCCGTTCCGAAACTTTGACCAGAATCCTGTCCTGTCATGCCAGCTTGAGTATTTGTCAGAGAAAATTGAGGTGGAAGTGGTTTAGCTTCCGCGATTGCCTCTCGTAGACTGTCCGAGTCGCACCCCATAGAGACGTGTCGGTGAGATGACAGCGCTGCAGATCTTTAGTTCAGGCGGAGACCGTGGCGATTTCATACGGTGATCCGCAGCCGGCCGAATCCACGGTTGGCTTTGGAGATACTTCGTCATCGATTTTGGTAGGCGAAGTTGTCCACGACCTTAATTCAGGTGCCGTCGTCATGGGTGTGAGGAGCACTGTATGCAGCGTTGGACGACGACTGACGCATAACTACCGTTTTATCTTCGTTGATGGTCAGCCCCAAGTTGGTACAGCCGAATGTGAGGTGTTCCCTGCTCCGCCACATGTCTGCCTCTGTCGTGTTGTTGTGTGCGTTGTCACCGGAAAACAGCAGGTGGCGGGCAGTAGTCATGGGAAAAAGCTCTGAGGCCTTCATGCGTTTGCTGTTGAGAAAATATCCATAGGTGCTGTAGGTGATACGGATACCGGGGCGTTAATCACGGTAGGCGTCCATCAGCATGGCAGAAAACATGAGACTAAAGAGGGTATGGGGCGAGAAAGTCGCTCCGCTACGCTCTGTTGGCTACTAAAAATGCTTCTGAGAAGTTCCCATTGGTCGTGGCGCGCGCCAGCTTCCCACCGTGGACATGCTGCACCAAGCTCGCAGATCGCTCAGGACAGCCGAACCTCTGCATGATTTTGTACGGTCTTTAACGATTTACTCTGTCGAAGGCCTTCGTCAGACTCACGAAGGTAGTGCAGGGGGGTCCGCAATTTCTGGCATTTCTTCTGAAGCTGGCGGGGGTCGAAAACCATGTCGGCGGTTCCACGTTGACGTTGGGAGCCGCAGTGGCTCTCAGGGGGAAGTCCTTGCTCGAGATAACCTTTAAGACGGTTGAGGAGGATGCGAACGAAGATCTACCGGGGGACATTAAGCGGCGAGATTCCTCTGTGGCTAGCACAGAGTTGTCGGTCCCTTTTCCTTCATAGCGATGGACGATTGTCATATTCTTAAATTCATAGGAACTTATCTTTTGCGCCACACCTCCCGGAACAGCGTTAGGATTAGATCCATTAGCCGATGACCGCCAAGCTTTTAGGTTTCGGTCAGGATCGTATCAGAGTCCGATGCTTTCCCGTTGAATGACTGTTGCACGGCGCAGACGATTTCTAGAAGGGAGGGCAGAGGATCCAGGTTGAGGTTCTTTCCACTTAGGGGAAACTGCCAGTCACTGGCGGGGTCGGGATTGTAGATGGGCTGTTGAGAACACTCAACAGAATTTGCGACTTCTTGATCCCGTCGGTCCTAAGAAGCCGGGTATTTCCTTTGGATCGCTGCGAAGAATTTCTTTGGTTCATAGCAGTCTGCATGCCCCTGGATCACCTCGACCTTGCGAGACATTCAGACGTCCTGCATTTCTCGCAACTGTCGGTGCACAAGGCAGCGACTTCGGTAGAAATCCGCTTGGTTTGCATCGGTCGGTCGGTCAATGTAGGCGAGCAGGTTGCTGATGGTTGCGCCGTCTTCGTGAAACCAGTTCTGGTGCTGACAACGTGCGCGTCCGAAAACAGCCGAATGGATCGGGGCCCTCAGTTGGCACCCGGGGGTCTCCACGGAGGCGTCTTCCTGGAGAGCTTGCAAGTATTCCAGTCGCAGGGTCAGTTGACTGTTGAAGTGGAGACGGTGAGCGAGTAAATTCCACAAAACTGTTTAACTGTTAGTCACCTAACTTGTGGTCCCCTGCGAGGTAGCACTCAGATCCCTATCTTGGAGATGATGAGGCTATGGTCCGTCCAGCCATCGGCGTCGCAGATTGTCTTGGTCACCAACACGTCCTGTCGACCTCGCCTCCGGATGAGAACACTGTCCAGCAGCTGTTAGCGTCGAAATCTTGGGTGCGTTCATGTGGTCCTCTTCGCATCGGCAGGCGGAAGGTGGTGGTCAGTAGGCGGCGATGTTTCGCGCAGGTTCGCAGAAGAAGGAGCCCGTTTGTTCTACTGCTGCCGAGACTATGGGGACACAGCACTCAGCGTGGTCTGTCCCGAGGCGGGCGTTGAAGTCGCCAGAAACAACCACTTTGTCCGCCTTCCGCGCAGATGAAGGGAGGGCGTGCAGTGCGTAGGCGCTGATGGTGGTGGCGAGTTTGGCTCCCCAAATAGGCAGACTCGGGGTAATAAAGCGATCGTTGATGCCATGCGACAGACAGGGTAGTTGCTTCAAAGTGTCGATCTGGATGTCAAAGGCGACCACAGACTCGCATCGCTCTGCCTTTTGACGACCCCTCCAAAAGAAGGTGTGGCCGGCACCCACCTCCTCAAGTTGACCTTGTTCGGAGAGACGGGTCTTCCTGAGAGTATCGACGCCCATCATGTAGTCCGGCAGTTCTTGAGTGACTAGTGCAGTTTGCCTTTCCGATACTTTGCTCCGGATTGTCTGAAAATGGGCAAATATTCCAGGCTACCAGAATGAGCATCTACGAGCCACAGTATGTAGACAGATGTCGTGCTCCATCAGTATTCTTATAGGACGTCTTTTCTGGTCGCTCCCGCCCGCGAGGAGGTAAGCTGTGTTGTTCCTAAATAGGGTTACTGAGATGTCTCAGACGGCTGACGAACTCCACTATGGGTCATAGTTTGGTTTCGTGGGAGAGCGACCCAGGTTTGCTTGGACCGCCTACGGGATTGCATATCGTCCTCTCAGTAGGACTATTGAAGACAGGGGGAGGGGGGATGGGAAGGTGGGCGGAGTTCCCGGACGTGGGGACAAAAAAAACACCGAATACACTCGCCTGATTTAGCTCGCCGGTCGGGGCGGTTACCGGGCTGTGGCCACTAGGCAGGGCCTCGCTTCGAGGAGCCACACGCTTGACAGTTCAACTGTCGATTTCGACGATGTCCATCGTGTACCTCACAGCAGGATGAAAGCGGGGACAGTGACTTGTGCGTGGATTAGTTTAAAGTGATGGTAGATTTGCGTCGCATCTACCGCACACTCACCTCCTTTCACAGCTGGGTCCGGTGTCAAGACAGAGTCAATAAGACCGGAAACGAGAGAGGGTGCGGACGACTGGCACAGCGAAAACCCGCACCTAGGCGTACCACCACGCCACATGTCCCATAAAAAACCAGGGTTTTATACATCAATGGAAAAGGAAGGACCACTGTGACCCCAATTGGTTCGGTGTGAGCCCGTAATTTGGTGTGCAACCATACCAAAATGTTGACAATTTGTTATATGTGCACATCCCATTAACACATGCCGGACTCCGACCTAGTCCCCATATTAGTGCAGCGCGTCCACCGCGTGGCCCGTTTTACGGGCAAACAACAGTTCGATCGTCCTTGTCGACGAGATCAACCGTGTGCTGCACGGCAAGGTGAAGCAGGCACGATGACTGAAGCGTGATTTAGTTTATAATGAACGTAGACTTGCACCGCATCTACCGCACTCTCTCCTTCCCCACCTGTATCCGGTGCCAAGACATGGTCAAGAATACCGGAGGGGGGGGGGGAGGGC